ATTTATTCATATTTGTCTGGTATGAGTTATTTATATTTATTCATAGTGAAAACTAGTTATCGAAAGTTGTCTGGTGTGAAATGCTGATATTTATTCATATTTGTCTGGTATGAGTTATTTATATTTATTCATAATGAAAACTAGTTATCGAAAGTTGTCTGGTGTGAAATGCTGATATTTATTCATATTTGTCTGGTATGAATTATTTATATTTATTCATAGTGAAAACTAGTTATCACATACATACAAAATAAATAATTATGTATTGGCGTAATGTGTAAATGTAGTTTTCGGTCTAACTACAAAATGTTAAATAGTTGCATCATGTAAATATATATTCATAGCTGGCTTAGTATGAAACATTTGCACCTAGTCACAGCTGCTTAGTCCTGACTTGATTAGAATTAGTAAAAATTTCTCTAATGGGAATTCTTAAAATTATAATTTGCACTTTGTCTAGAATCATCCACGACAATTTAGCGTGAATTATCTTTTTCTGTTTTCAGTTATTTTGTTTGAGTTATTTGAAATCCTTTTCATAATTTGCTCAAACATACCCACAAACACACACATACTTTTATGTGCACACATTCCTTTCTACTTGAGTCACGTGACTTGGGTATCAACAAACCATCACTTACTGAACTTCTACAATAAGACAAGGTGTTTTAGAATAAATCTCCGTTTATTTCTTTTCATTTCCTTCAAGCAATTTCACGCTGAAGTGTGCTGTTATTTAAAGAGTGTGTGTGTAGCGAAGATAAGTATGTGAATATATTATATGTAACGAAACTTTATATACGCTTTATGTAATTTTTTTTTCAGTATCTTGAGAAATAACCTGCCGTCACGAAGGCTGGAACAGCTCACTTCATCAGTTTTAAACAGCGATAATCTCTCTATTCGTGATGTGTGCCTCATTGCTTCCCCCTGGTCCCGGATGTAGGTACTACGGTATTTTAAAATCTTCGTTTACTTTTAATCAGAGCCTGGTCGTCTGCTTACCTTTACCTGAAGAAAAATCTCCGATTTTCTCTCCCCCACTCATGTCATCCGTTCCTAGTTTTTCTCAGAGACTTTTTGCATATTTTATGGTCCAATTTTGTCTGAGGTGGCCTATTTTATGACAGCAGCCAATTTCAAGGTATGGATTGTCGTGGATTTCTCCAATCAATAAGCGTCATCTAACGAAATGGCCCCGTGGAGAGAGTCTAAGCTAGCGAATATACCAAACAAATGTACCGTTTCTGTATCTGCTGTTCTTCACATAACAAGCTCGTATTTAGTTCTCTTTCCAAATGTGCAGCTGGCGCTTCATACTCTTATTTCCATAACTGCCCGCTGCTCTGATGGTAATAAACATCACCGAGCAACATGACATACAGACACAGAAGCTATACAGACTCAGTTGAAATGGCACGAGAGAGCTGTAATAGTGGGAGGGATCAGGCGACTAGGTTGTATTCGTGTTATATATCAAACACAACGTGTCTTTTTCCCTTCTTATACTTGTTAGTCTGTTCTTCAGTTATTGCTTCCGACAGCTTTAGGTTTCATTGCACGTCTTAAAGCCTACCATAGTTTCAGTAATATATATTTTTTTAAGAAACGAGTCTGCTTAATTGCAATTATGGTGACACATTTTCTAAGATTGGTCAGACTGTTGCACCCCTGTGAATTATACCAAAGAATATATGCATGAGTTTTGTTCGAATGCTATTTAATTATGTCTGTGAAGAGGTGAGAACAGAGGAGGAGGTCTGTTTGTTAGTAAACGTCTTTTACGACAACATATATTGATCAAAACAATATTGTTAAATCACGGTTGATTCTTTTTTATTAAAAGGTCATCAAAACTTTTTTTTAAATTTTAAACAGTGTTGTTGACAAAGTAAATATTAATGTTTCGGATACTGACGTATATTTTTATATGAATTGAATATTTTCCTTTCATTTTTGCACAATCATATTGGGGTCACTACTAGCACACAAAAAGATAGGTAAAAACATATTTGAAAAATGTCGTGTTTCATCAAAAGCGTATAATCACATATTTGATTTTTATTGCTTAAAATATGTTTTATACAGTTATATAGTCATGACCAGTTATTGGTAAATAATATGCTGTTTGCTAATTTTTCGTGTGTATAACCTACATGAACTATTTTCTAAATTTGTTTACACACTGTGTGAATAAAACTAGGGTGCAAAAAACTTTTAAACACTACGAGAACAGCGTACTTTTTGACTTGCAACACAAAAGTACAACTTAACTAAGACTCATAACTTCTTGTAGCTCGCGTTTTATTTTGTTCTTAATAATAACAATAACAAATCTTTCTTTGTAACTATTCATGAAAACACGTAGATTCAAGAAGCCTTGATATAATATGATAAAAACCCTATAACCTGAGCGCTTTCGAAAAGTGGACCTTTCTTCTTTAATTTAACTATTATTGAATATATCATGCTTGTACGCATTAGGCTACGATACAATAGATATTAACTGTTGGACATAATAAATATGCTCCTGGTGATTCAGGGGTAAGTCCGACGGCTTATAACGCTAAAAATCGGGTTTCGATACCCGCGGTGAGCAGAGCACAGATAGCCAATTGTTTAGCTTTGTGCTTAACAAATTGTGACAGCTTATTGGCAATTTTTTCAAACAAATTCAGTTTTCAGTGTGTTTTCCACCCATTTTATGAACCTACCATCTTCTTACCACGAATCCACTCAGATGTATTGCACGTCTTAATACTGTTATACCATCAGTTTGTTTATGTACACTAAAACTATCACCTTGTACGCGCTTGTCCACCACAGTTATCAATTTAGTTGCCTGTAGTTTTATCTGCACAACTTATTTAACTGTCTGTGTAAGAATGTCCCAGCCAACCAGAATATACCGAATTTCCTGTTCATGACACTATGACATTTTATTTTTTGGTTATAACACTTTCTTATATTTCAATACTGGATACTAATGGATTAATCAACCACAATTGTAAGTGTGTGGTGGATGTATACCCAAATAGATACGTTGTGTGGATGAGAGACACAATCTGATGGTATAACAGTATTAAGACGTACAATACATCTGAGTGGATTCGTGGTAAGAAGATGGTAGGTTCATAAAATGGGTGGAAAACGTAAGTGTGTGGTGGATGTATACCCAAATAGATACGTTGTGTGGATGAGAGGCACAAACTAACGGTATAACAGTATTAAGACGTACAATACATCTGAGTGGATTCGTGGTAAGAAGATGGTAGGTTCAGAAAATGGGTGGAAAACGTAAGTGTGTAGTGAATGTATACCCAAATAGATACGTTGTGTGGATGAGAGGCACAAACTGATAAATAGATAACTAAGTTTAGTGGGTTGAAACACACAGGTAAGATTTGGTATATATGAAGAGGAAGGTAAATTTCGACAAATGGGTGTCATGAGCAGGAAGGCTGGCTTGGATGAACTGATATAAAGAGTTAGCTATAGCTTTGGCTTATAGACTTGGATGAATTCGTGGTTAACTCCTGTGTGTACAGACGCTACATCTTATGAGTAGACACAGACGGGTATAGTACTGGAAATGAAAAAGATGTGTTACTACGTTTTGATGAACATAGATAGGTACATAAATAGGTAATAAAAAGTGAAAAATACAAAGATAAAGACTGTTTGGTTGTTAGATAACAAGTCGGATACGTAATTGGATTTGGAAGAACCATCGATAAATACACTGATAGTATTATAGTAATATGGTCAGTGGTCGATCCCAAACAGTCAGGCAGTATAGACTTGGTGGATGAACACAAATATCGATAGATTTGGTTAATAGACACACAGATTGATAGATCTGGTTAACAGACACACAGATTGATAGCTTTGGTTAACAGACACACAGATTGATAGATTTGGTGGACAGATACTGATATTTATGTATATGTATGGATGTATATTTATATATATGTATATAGATAGCTAAAGTTAAAAGAACGGATATGATATGACTCAGAGTATATGGTTTTGATGAAGGGATACAAGTAGATAGGAGTTGATAAGTCTGAATAAGTTGATATGGACAGGAAGGTGGGTTGGATGAATATAAACAGGTAAGATAGTTAACTTTGAGTAAGTGAATATGAACAGGAAGGTACGTTTGGATGAACGATATAAACAGGTAAAATGGATAAGTCTGAATAAGTGAATATGGATAAGAAGGTGGGTTTGGATGAACAGGTACGATAGGTAAATTTGGGTAAGTGGATATGGTCAACAATGTGGTTTTGGAGAAACGGATGTAACGAGGTAATATATACATATGTCATGGGTTTGAATAAATAGATATAAATATATTTCAACAAATTGGTGTCATGTACAAGAATGCTGGCTTGGATGAACAGATATAAACTGGTAAGATAGACAAGCCTGGATAAATGGATATGAACAGGAAGGTGAGTTTGGATGAACAGATACAAACTGGTAAGATAGACAAGCCTGGATAAATGGATATGAATAGGAAGGTGGGTTTGGATATAAACGTCGATAAACTATGATTGAAGGTCTCTGTAGATTAACTTTTAAGGATAAGAAAGGAAGTGAACAAGGATAAATACATGAGGTCACAAATAGAAACCATACAATATATATATATATCAATAAAAGGTTTGAAACCAGAACATGATTTGGAATTATTTTAAATAAGCTAGCTAACTGACTCTATGACGTGCTCTGAAATTTACTGAAACAATATTCGAGTTCAGTTATCTGAAATATACCAAAAACCGTTGGGTTCGAACTATAGTTTAACTTACAATTAACACTGAGATCACAAAGAATACCAGTTTTCTCTGTGACATTGGAAAAATAAGAAATGAAGTGTTATTTCTAACAGATCTGGAAACAGAGAACAAGCAATAAATATTACACTGTTCCCAGTAGTATTGTAGCAAATCTTTACACCTTGTAACTGAGCCTATCATGAGAACATTCATGTCAGGATAGTAACAAACAATAAACAGTTAAAGAAAGACAAGTTTTATGAACGAATCTCTACGAATAATTAGGTTTAACTGAAACAAATTAAATTACAAGTTCGTTTGTTTAAAGTACGTATCATTATTAGATATTTCATTGTTACAGTAATACCATGGAGTTATTTTAGTTTTTCGTAAAGTTATACACGGTTTTATCATGTCACACTGATAATTTCTCTTACTTCTAATCACATTATCGTTGCCATATAACTCTCCAACGAAATTACTCAACCGACAATATTTGACTAAGCAGGTGTCATTAATGCTTCCGTACGTCGAATCGAAGGCTGAATAAACTTAATAGAAATGGTATTTCTCGCTTCTGTCCGTTGAATTTCCTTATAGAAACCTTTCTGTATCCATGATTCAACTGAGAGAGCCATTCTGTTTGAAAACGGCATTATGAAAATATTTTCAATCTGATTAGTACTTTCGAAGCTTATCTTTAAATCTCTCAGGTCAAATACAGAGGCAAATTAAAAGAACAGTACAAGGATTTTTTCATCTAAAACACGCCTTCTGCTTCTATATTAATCTTAATTGAAACTCACTGCAATCAAGTAACGCAGAAAGGTTTTTATGTTTAAGATGGTGGATGAGAAGGAGAGCGATTCAAAGTGTCACCGTCTCTACCCATTTGCTTAATGTCGGCATTTACTGAGGACGTCTAGCTGCTGACGGTACTAAGATATTTTTTTATCCGCGCTGTCGAACAGAGGATGTAAAAAATGAAGACTCTCCGTTCCCATGGCAACAAGGCTCTAGGGAATTTTCGTCTTTTTTTCTGTTAAATTTCATTTGCAATAGGCGTACCACTTTGCAAAGATATATATAAATTCCATAGAAATAGCCAATAACTGGAGCTACATTAGAGCGTGCTGACAGTATTCTAAACTAAATGACCCAA